GTTCAGCATTTAGCTTCTATTCTTCTCTAACACCAGAATAGGGAAGTCAGGCTTGCTTTCTTCCTGTTCCCAAGTACTGCACCCAACAACCACACTTGCCCTTGGACAATGCCAGCTGGAAACCTGACAAGGCACCCCCCTGACCCCAGTGCCTTTGCTGTTTTTTCTGATCGTAAATGTACAAAGAAAATAAAAATCCCATCACCTCACTAGGATCCATTTTTAGTGCAGCAATCCTCAAGCTGCCATGTACACACCGAACCCCCTGGGTGTTGTGAAAAGGCAGGCTCAGATTCAACAGGTCTGGGGGGGCCTGGGGCTCTGCATCTCTCACAGCTCCCAGGTGATGCTGATGCTGGTTCCTGGACAGCATCTGAATAGCAAGAATTTAGCACCTACCCTTACTGACCTTACTGACACGCACAACGATCCTAGATGTTTTCTAAGGTATGTTGCCACCACTGCTTTCTTTGGATGAGACATCAACAGCCTCCCCTGCCTTACCTTGCAATGCCTCTCTTGTGACACGAAGAAAAGCCTGTTCTCTATAGAGAAACAGCCTGATGTTGTGCAGGTCTCAGTCCACCACCCCTCTCCCTGGCTGCCTTCTCTCTACAGGAGAAAAGTGCACTTGAGTAAGACAACCCTAACCTCAGACAGGCACCTGTGGCCATCCTAGCCCTGAATGGGGATTAAGAGAAGGGGTGTCATAGGGTGGAGGGAGCAGAGGCGGCCTTGGGAGCACTCGGCTGCAGGACATGCCCAAGAGGCTCATGGGCCATAGTGGAAGGAGCACTAGTGGGAAGTCACAAGGTATCATGAGTCCTCATCCCGGCCAGGCTGCATGTGACAGGGACAGCCACTTCCCCTCCCTGTGCACTGGTTTCTGCATGAGCTCATGCCCTCCTCGCTCCACAGCCTGCCAACGCGGAGCCACTGTGGAGACATGCAGGCAGAGAATCAAAGCCACCACTCTCTTTATCTTCTTCAAGAGACAAAGAGGAGAACACAGCACCCCTGCCAGGGTCAGGAAGAATCCTCCAGTCTCAAACCCATACCCACCTGCTGAGCCTCAAGTGTGGACTAAGCCATTAAGCAATTGACATTTCATCCATTGGTCCTTAAAAAAGAAGGAAAGGTGGCTCCATTCACCAGAGCACTGAGGCTCAGAGAGGAAAGACCTTCATCCAAGGCCAGTCCCACCAGAAGTGCTCGTGGAGGGATTCAATGTCAAGTCCACTGGCTCCTGGCTCGGCCACCTCTGAATCTCACTCACTCTCAACCCCCGTAACAAACCTGCAGCTACAGCCTCACTGCCAGTCCGGGAATGACTCCCCTTTGAAAGCCCACTTTCCTGCTTCCTTCCTTCTCCAAGGGCAGCCTTCATCAACATCCAGAGCAGGCTTCTTTTTAATATATTCCCCATCAGCATGAAAATAAAATATGTAAAGCCACCCCAGGAAATACTGCCAGAGGCCCACAAACCTGTCGGGAAATGCAGTGACCCCCTAGGGCTCAAAATCAGAAACCACATGTGCGCATGAAAATCACTCACCTGGTTCGGGTGCATCCCTGTGGTCTGGAATGCCTACAATCCCTAGGCCTCTACATTCATTTTTACCACAAGCCTCCAGGGGTTAAGAATGGGACAGCCCAGGTTCAAATCCTATGCCACCAGCTATGTGACCGAGGGCAAGTTACTTAAACTCTCTACATCCCCTAGGTCTGCCAAGTGAATGAATGTTTACTGTATACCCACCACAGTGCCAAGTACAGACCAAGCACTTTACACACATTAGCTATGACATTGTTGTTATTGGCGTAAGACCTTCGGCTCTAACAGTTACTTTCAACTGGCTACCTTCTCTCCAAAGCAAAGGCAAACCAATTCAATGTAGGCCTCTGTGTTCACTGCCCTGGGGGATAAAAAGGTGAAAAGGGCCCATGGCATCCAGGGAGGGGAAAACAAGCAAGATGCACCAGGCACTCTATGAATAGTCCTTCTCTAATCCTTGCAGCAACCCTGGAGGTCCAGGTAAACATTGTTTCCATCCACAGAAGACTGAGGTGGCTTGATCGAGGCCACACCTACACTTAAACTGTGGGATTTCCCTGCCTCTCCATGCAGTGGCAGAAGTGAAGTCAGGCCAGGCATGTCTGTGGTCTAAGGCTAATTCTTACAGTGCACTAAGAGGTA